TCTCTAAAGAAAAGTTATAATTCTTGTTTTTGTTTAGTAAAAGCATTTATCACCTCTGAGCCTATCCTACTTTGTCTTTTGACAATAGGCTTCATTCTTCTATTATGCAAAAATTATCTTTCTTTCTTCTCTCTAATGACAAACATACTGTTTTAACTTTATAAATTTGCTCTGCTGTTAATGGAGGACAAGTTTAGTTCACCATTTCCAGATGTGTTGTATTACTTCTATGAGAAGTAGGAATTCTACAATGTATAGTCTAGTATTTTTGGAAATTACAAGGTAGATTGGAGTGGACTTGTTAAATCAAAATAACAATATGTAAATTCTTTTTACTATGGCATCTAAGTTTACAATGGGAACATAGTACACTTTTAAGGGATCTTATTCCTGTAAACAATATAAATTTCTGCCAAATAATTTTAAATAAGTACATGATTTTATTCATAAATATCTGATCTGAAGATTATATACTGAAGTGCCCATCCACCAGTCATTTGACACTTAACATGACAAACCGAAAACAAGCCAATGAAACTGAGTGTAATTTAAAGCTAAATTTATATACTAAAATCTCAATAAGTTTATAAAGCAAACAAACACTTCCGGTTCATCCTTTTTCCCTTTAGCCTTTACTTGTAATTAGGATAATAGAAAAAGTAGAGTACATCTTTGGCAAAGAAGTTCTATCTCCTTGAGTGTAACATTATATAGGAAAGCCAGATAAAGGACATTATGTTGACTAGGCTACTACTAACACATTTTTTAATTAATTTTTATCAGATTTTCTACTCTTTTCATTTGGACTATTTTGTTGATGAACACACTTGTATTTGCTTGCACATGAATGTATAATAGAGATAGGGTTCTCAGGCATCTAAACATTCAACTAATTTTCAGTTCAACGTATAAAAAGTAGAACAAGCTTAAGAGTAATTTACTGAAGCATGTTAGGTATTTTATCACCAGAGAATACTGTAACTCACAGAGCTATCAAGCATTTTTTGTTTTAGCTTTTAATATGTCACTCAAGGTAGCATTTCTGAAGCGTTGCTATTCCTTTGATACATCATTCCCTATTCACAGAATTGTTCCTAAACAGGCCCCCAGTTCCATCAATTTGACTGACGAGGCACTTGAAATATTTGCTAAAGAGTTATGGAGAACCTTCAAACTCATTGTGGTTTTCAGAGAGGAACTGCATCTTCACATTCTCAGGTTAATCATGTACCTAATTTTCTGATTATTGACTTGTTCCCTCAAAAGATTTTAACTTGCTTTGGCTTATCCACATTATTCAGCGAGGAACTGTCAAGCTTTACCCTCCTTTGCCAAATCAAAATTTTAAACTGTGGGAACATGGCATTTTCATTTTTAACTTTAGGATGCTACCTAATGTCAATTTCAGATTATGAATGTAAATCTCGCAAGACATATAGAAAAGCATTTAATGCTGTTTTTATACTGGGATAGAACAGGCTGTTTCTAGCAGCACATTAAGTAATCAATAGATGCTGCCACATAGCGTTATCCTGTTGTCAAGGTTTATAGCTGCTCAGAAAGCTAGTGTGTATTTTCTGGGAATATTGAAATAGGTGAATATTATTAGCCAAAGCCAGAATAAAAGAAAGATTGGTTTGTTTGGGAAAAGCCAGAGCTGTGGACTCCTGAAGTGCAAGACTATGATTAGGAGTAAACTTAAGCAATGATTTGTGGATTTGAATACCAAATGCAGGAATAAAATCAAAACCCAGGTAGAATTGATGTTATGTATTCTTTGCATTTTAACTAGGCTAATAGGATAGAATTGGATGATAATCTGGTAATTTTCTCTCCAAATTTAGAACATCCTTCCAAATTTAAAGTCTAAGAATATGATTACAAATGTACATATGGCAAAGCAGAGCCGGTAATACCTCACATATTTCACAAAAGCCCCCTTTAAACCTGAAATAAATATTATTAGAGGCTGCATTCTTCACTGGTGTTTTTCCCCTTCCTTTTCACTTTCTAGTTAGATTTCTTCTCCAACTCATCACCTGCCAATTGTTGTGGGATAGCAATTACCAGACAAGCATGGGAATTCTAGGCCTTGTTGTCATACCCAATGTTCCAAAAGATCAGAAGGACACTAAATGGGGAAAAGCTAACAGAGAAAAAAGTGATTGTGATAAGGATGGATTTCTAGGACTGAGGATGTTCTCAGTCCTAGTAATGGCCCTCAATGTAACAGAGGCTGGAAATTCATAGAATCTTTGCTAAACACAGGACAATAACACAAATACTCAGATAAAAAGTTACAGTAGTTACAAAACAATTCCCATTTTTTTTCATCATCATCTTCTTTTAAGCATCTCAGTACAATACCTGTACATGGGATGGTGGAAGTCCTCTTCTGATATAGACAGCAAAAAGTGCATCCTTCCCTAAAGAGATATTGAATTTCAGGAACTGTGGCTGTGCAATGTGAATTTGTGCTCGCCAGAATACTCCTTGTGGCACTTCTTGAGTGACCCTCCGTCCGACGTCTGCCTCCCCACTGTCAATGCTATTATTTCTAGTGGCCCATGGTCCTGGAAGACAAGAGCCAATAAAACCATAGGACAGTCAGAATCAAATAGATTTATTTTTAGCACTCTTATTTAAGTTGAAACTGGGTGGCAAACCTATATGTCAATGCAAAGTGCATAGTAGTTATTAAGACTAAATTTACCAACCTATGCTTTAAAAATAATAATGAAAGCAAACTGCTTCTAGTAGAATTTTAATGTAAGAATGACAATATTCTTCTTAAAAAGCTATAAACTTGTTCCCTGGGGCATTTAAAATCTTGCATACAGCTTCTCTCCCATTTTTATTTCCAGTGCTGCTCTTTACTGATCAAACATAATAAGAGCGGAGAGTCAGCTAAGCACATTAAAAGCTCCTTGCCCTCTTTTCACCATTCTATTGTGAAAAGAATATGAAAATAAATCCACAAGGGAAAGTAACGGAATAATTTCAATGGCTTTTATTCATCCTGTGTCAAATACCAAGCAAGTGTGTAAGCAATCAAAATATAAAAAGAAATGAATAGATGAAATGAAATACACTTAAAGACAGTTAAAATTTCTTCTACCAAATATTAAGAAACTAAATGTATTGTTCATCATATTGAGTTTATTATCTTTTATCATATTTTTAGTGGAAATCTTTTGGCTAATAATGTCCCCTAGGCAATACCTTTGGCTGATGTACTATATATAAAACTATTATGAAACAGTAATATAGAAACATTAAATAAAAATTATATTTCATTGAATTCCTAGATTTTTGCTTTGTGAAGGCCAAAAAAGGACACCACCAATAATAACACATTCTTGTATATATCTTTTATATATCTTTTACTTTCTGCCAGTATGTTTAACTACATGACTTGAACATGCTGTGAGAAGAGTCATAAGCAATTATGAAACCTTGACATTAATACAAATTTGAGAAGAAGAAAATGAATTCTAGATCTGTGCATTACTTCTAAGCTGAAGAACAACCAATCAATCTTGGATCAAATAAAGAAACTTACTTTGGGCATGTGATACAAGTGAAGACAAACAGAAGGCTTGGTAGAATTAAAGAACCAGCAGTGAAAGAAAACAGATCAGATGGATCATGGGATCAAAGAAATTACTTGACTGTCTTTGGACACATTACAAATTACTGTATTGTATATGGTCACCAGGCATCCAATTCCACGACATCTAAATAACCTTGGATTACAAGAAGCTGTGCCTACCAGATGTGTGAGTACTATGTGCATCTTCTTTTCTAAGCTTCCATAATCCCTTAACTAATGATCAGATGAAGATATCCAGATATCTCAAAAAATTAACAGGAAGATCATTATTTATTGTGGAGAACCATACCAAGACATTATATGAAGCATTAATTATAGGGATAGCAATCAGGGCCCAAGTACATTTTGTCCTTTCTACAATTCAGACACATTCCCATGTGTTCTCCTTTACTTTCTTAGCTTGCATTCTCACCACTGTCATCCCAATTCTCAAGACAGCAGCAAGCCAATCCGTTACTGCGCTATACAAATATCTTGCATATTTTTATGTCTTTCCTCTGGGAACAAAATAAATGTAATGTGATCTTATTTCTATTGGCCTCATGAATAATGTATGTCTTATAATATTGGCTTAATAATTTATACGCCATATATTAAATATATTTCAGTTCATTTATTTGTATTATTTTATAATACAGGAGAAGCTGTGGTGGCACAGTGGTTAGAATGCAGTATTGCAAACTAATTCTGCCCACTGCAAGGAGTTCAGCCCTGATGGGCTCAAGGCTGACTCAGCCTTTCAAGCTTTCAAGGTCAGTAAAATGAGAACCCAGATTGTTGGAGGCAATATGCAGACATTATAAACCATTCAGAGAGAGCTGTAAAGCACTATGGAGGGGTATATAAATCTAAGTGCTATTCATGTTTATATTGTATATTCCAGATTTATGAAAGCTGTCCAGAAGACATGATAGGAGACACAGACAGATCTGTGTGTCTGCCTGCCTGCCTGCCTGCCTACCTCCATCCTCTATCTGATTTTAAGGCAACTAAACCATCTTTACCAGCACATGAACTATCGAAAGAACTTAATGTCATTACATGTAGATGCAAAAACAACTTACAAATATTTGAAACAATATCCAAATTAAATTTCTGGCTTTTATCATAGTTGGAAGGCAATGACAATGAAGGTATTAATTGCACTTAGCCCTTTGACCATCTAGAGCTCATAGTGAGCTATCTACCAAACCTTTCAATTCATTTCTTGACTTTGGAAAAGGTGTAAGGTACATGAGGTCTCCAGAGGCAAATAGAGGGGTTGGTCATTGCTCATGGATGCTAGTTAGCATTCATAATTACTCAAACACTAACTGGCATTCATAAGACCATTATTTAAGTTTTCAGATTATAGATTCTGTGCTAACCATTGTCCTGACACTGTTCCCAGTTCATGTTCTTAGCATTAGTCACTTTTTGTGTGTTAACTAGAATCAGTTATGCATTTTACCATTGGTTTTCTTCAGTTTAAATGGTCCAATTGCCTTAAAAACTATAAAATGTACATACTGTTTACTTTTCCAATGCATACTGATGGGAATGTTTCTAAAAATCTATATAAATGCAAATGTTTAATTTGGAATAAGTCTTATACTGACATGATCATGATCGTGAGTATGATTTACATGTACTTTCATCCAATTAAAAATACACATTAAATTACTGCTAACATCTTAGGAAGTAAATCAATTTGCCCAAGTCTTTCATAATGTTTAGCAAAAATCTACTTTGATATGCAACAGTTTTATAATTATACGTCAGGGAAGTGTGAATAATCCAAGGACCAAAACATATCCTCTTCACCCATTTTCTTTAAGTGCAATTATCACTGCAACAAGTTCCAGTTTTAAGTTCCAAATTGCCTGTGCTCTTGAGACTTATACTTGCATGCAATGAAAAGCCATTTAAACATACTGTACTGCCAAAGTCTTTATATGGCAAGAGAATGCTTTGGTTAAACACTCTTAATCTTTGAATATCTTTTTATTAAACTGCGTCTTTTTTAATTTTCTAGGTTAATGGGTCTTCAGTAATATCAGAGCACAAAAGAAAAGGAAGGGGAAAAAAACAGTAGAGTACACTGGCTACAAATGGAATAAATGGGATTAATGCAATGTCAAACAATATTCCTGTGTAACTACTCCAGAAGTATGAAATGAAAATTCAAAATGAAAAATGAATAATGGTTCTTTCTATTTATTTACTACTTTTCTTCCAAGCACACTATCTTGTAGACAACCACACAGAGCTATTTTCTTGCTGGATACTCAGCAATGCTTATCTTTTGACTGCATCTGGACTGCACAAATTATCAAAATATATGAAAAATGGTGAAAAATTGATTAGACAGAACATCCAGAAAGAACAAGGACTGCCACAACATATATATTAGGGTGGTGGTGGCAACTTTTCCAATAGTTGATATTGACTGAAAAAAAAAATCTGGGATAATTATTACCTTACACAACACCACCATACAGGCTCACTCTGGATGAATATTAGGGGAACACTGTCAAAGCAGTGCAATTTATGCTGATATTTCTACTCAATTTGGGAAAGGGAGGAGGGAGGAGAATGTATGGCAGAATGTTTACAGAATTCATCCTCCTGTTTCTTGATCAGCCGTGTTTCCTTTTCTCTGAAAACTGACTATATATATATGGTCTATTACCACCTCAGATTTCAGCAATGCTGACTATGTTTTTCTGATTGTCATTCTTACCATTAGGTTTGCACATTATATTCTCTCACTTACAGAAAACTGCTTCCTCTGTCAGCTGATTTATAATGGCTTGTTTGAGCTAATATATGTTCAACTCCTTTATGAGCTGAAGGCAATGGCACTTAATGCTCCAATTGTCTTTTTTTTTTTTCCACGCACTGTTGACAAGCAGGTACTTGCAGGTACATATATATGAAATTGTTTTCTGGAAGGTACAGTAAACATTCCGCAAACATTCAGGTAAAGATTTTGATCATACCATTCATTTTCTGTTTCTTAGGCACCAATAGTAGATGTCTTTTTCCTTCTTGGTTCTGTCAGTACCCACTACCCAGGAAGAGAAATGTTAGGGATTCCCTTAAACTAATCTGCCAAAGTCCTGTAAGCTCTCTATCTTTCATCACTCAGAGAATTTGTTTCAAGGAAACTAGTTGCTTTATATTCCTTCTATTGTCTCTCTGGCAGCCTCTGCCTGCTCAGCAGAAAGAAGTCACTTAATCACCCATAAAAGGTAATCAGCAATTCTCAAGTCACATCCCTTGCAATCAGCAAATATTCATAAGATTCCTTAGACCAGGTATAGTTCTCTGGTGTGCTCTTTGTTCCTTTCTCCTATTGAACTTCATTACTAAATGCTTAGTAGCCCTTCTTATAATTGTGCTTGATGACTAAAAGCTGACCACAGATACACACACACTTTTCTTTACCCCTTCCCTTCCGATACCTTCTTCACTAACACATTGGTTTTTATGCTTCACCAATAAATGTTTCTTTAAGCAGATATCATAATATTTTTAATGTATGGGAAAAACAACAGCCATGTGCTGTATTTAAATTAGTGATTTGAAGCAGTATTCTAACTGCTACTCAAATGTATGTGGATCCTTATTCATTCAAGTGGAAATACTGCTAATAAATTTGATGGTAATGGTGATTATTTCAGTTTATATTTATATTCCAACTTTCTGTTTAGAGTAAAGATAAATGAAAGTATCCTAAGAGACCAAACAAATACAATATATGTCTTGAATGCAGTAAGTAGGATTTGCAAAATTAATCAAGTTTGTTTTCAATTTCCTTATCTGCATATTTCATGAACTACCCTGAAGTGGAGTTAATAGGAAGGTCTCTGAAGAACTTAGGGATATAAGAAAAGTGTTCTTTCTAGGGAAAAAAAACCCTTTAAGATGCAGTTATAAACATAAAATGTTGGGAGCTGTGTAGGAAATATTGTTATC